CCTTGCCGGAAGAACAACTATGTTTTTTATAGCTGCCCTACGAGGCATAAAGCCTTGTATCCACGATGCTAGAAACCGGTCCGAGATCTCGGACAGAGAAAAAATTAACAAATCACATTTGAACAATTTGATCACATGACCATTGCGATTGGTCAATTCTTTCTTCATCCGAGGTCTCGGACCGATTTCTAGCATCGTGGACACAAGGCTTAAGGGAGAAGAATGAAAAGTGTAAAAAGTTCAGCCACGGGAAACAGATAAATATAAATCATACTGAAGTAAGTTTCAAATTTAAATATCGAAAACGACAAAAACTAGGGCCGAGAAAAACGAGATATTGGAGCGCATGACGCGAAAGTAAAACAACTTGCTTCAGTTTGGTATACTTTTGGTAGCTGATAACTTCCGTGATAACTTCTATGATACCTTGAAATACTTGAATGGGTTCTGCAGATATCGGAAATCGCACATTTCGTCTAACTTTTTATCCAGTTGTGAAATAATTGTACTACACGTGCACACAGAAAGTACGTATACCAAATGATTCACACATATCAGTATCCTTCAAGGAATGAATTTAGAGACACTAAAATAAATACACGACAGCTGAGTATGTTGTTTAAGCTTTTTCTTTCAATTAAAGAAAATTCTCAAAGTATCCATTGAAATTTGCCAAATGCATATTTTTTTGGCACACCTTACAACTATAATATCAATAAACAACAGGTCACATCAAGTTTTAATTCTTTGTCAGCAATATGAATTTTAACTCTTCTGTCAGCAATAAAGAGTAACCTTCGAGTAAATTTTTCATTGATTCAGATTATATAAAAATCATAAATTCTGATATATTTGTCAAAGCTTTTTATTAACTACATCATAAAAGTTGAATATTGTATTTTACTTATTTTTACTGATTTTTTTTTTAAATTTATTTACCAAAAGTCACAATCAAAATGTCTTTATCAATGATGTTTATCAATGATCTTTAAAGACTCTAGCTGCTGACAGAGAATTAAAAAATATTGATTATAAATATTGATGAATACAACTAAAAATTCTATATGCATGCATGTATGAAGAACATATTCCTGATCGTTGTTCAGGGCTGCAAAATATTCTAATTTAATATTCTGATTATATTGGGGCTTACCTCGTCTAGTGTCGTATTTTCTTCATTGTGTTCCTTGTCGTCGTTGCGAATTTCGAGACCAGCGTCGTCTAAGAGCTGCTCGTACTTGGCCTGGTTACCGGTGTCTCTCATCGCGGAGAAGAGTGGTTTCTCTCAGCACCCCTTCCGGTAATATTCCGTTTTTCTAAAGAGAACAGGAACAGAAAATATGGCTTAATGCCGGAAATGATATTCACCTCTTCTCTTCTTTCCTCTTTCTATATTTCTCTGTCTCTTCTAATCTCGTTTACCAGGGAAAGTGGAAACGTTGTGGTGTATTGTCTTCCTCTCTTATATCTCTGTAGGAGTGCAACCGAAACAAATAGCGATTTTGGTACACATGACTGACATTCTCCCTCCCGAGTCTGTTTTATTCTATGCAATGTCTATGCAATGTCACGCATCAAAGGAAACGATCTCGTGAAATAATCCAGGTTACATAAATTTTTAACGAACTTTGCGCATTTAAGTACTGATGACTGACAGTGTGACGAACTAAGCATTTCTATCTTGTTGCTGATTATTTTATTATATTTTACATGTCTCGAATATCGTTAATGTACCGGATTTTTTTTATTTCGGGATCTAGCCGTCTTTTATTTTTATTAACAAAAATCAAGGGCCAATGTTAATTTCTAAATTACACTTTCTAAAATTACACTTTTTTCAACATATAAGGTTCTCTCTATTTTTATTATGTATTCATCTATGTCAGACCTATCCAATTTGAGCTCTGGAGCCAAAACGCAAAGCCATCGATGCAAAAAAATTCAATGTGGGTAAGATTTCGGGGACTGTAAATATGCATTTAAATGACGTTTATCAACACTTTATAGTTCCTAAAAATCTTACATTGAATTTTTTTGACACATCGATGACTTTGCGTTTTGGCTCCGGAGCTCAAATTGGACAGACCTGATGATCTATGCCATACATCTCCTTTTATCCATAAAAATTTTCACAAGTACCCATTTACTAAATCATAGATCTCACCTAATTGGCTCCTACCGCCTCAATGTTTAATTTTGAAATTAAATACAAGAAACACACCAAGATATTTTATTCGACAAGGTGATTAAGTTTTTGTCATGAACAGTTTCCCAAGAATACGCGCACCGACTGAAGACTCGCGTAACTTTTTTCAGAATAAAAAGACAATCACCAAGGTACGTACATCTGCATATATACCTAATATAACAACATGTTTAATAATTATGTCAATATGATGAACCGTTTGCAATTTATGCCAAAATGAGTCGCTTTTTAGAGCTAGATATTTATGACGTGTGCTACTTTTGCAAGTGTGAAATAAAATGGAGTAAAATGTCATTTTAATAATACATGAAAGGCAATATTTTCAAATGTTTGAAAATATTTCAAACATTTGAAATATTTGGGCATACACTATCGATCAGTGACAACCGATGCGATATTTGCTGCCACTTGACAGCATATCGAGCAGCTGTTTTATTCGTTTCCACTAACAATAATTATAACGCATATTTTTCAACAATAAAATTAATTTTTTTATGGATAACTTCACGTGTCGTCACTATAAATATATTTTTTAATAGTAAATTTTTGTTATCAGAATTTAATTCGAATCAAGTAAATGTTTCCGAAATTATATTATATATAAACGTTCTAAGAATTGTAATGGAGTAAAATGTCAAAGCATCTTAATAATACATGACAGGCAAGTACATTTGAAATGTTTGAGCATACGCTATCGATCAGTGACAACTGACGCGATGTTTGCTAACGGCACATCGAGTAGTTTTATTCGTTTCCGCTAACAATAATTATAACGCATATTCTTCGAATAAAGTTAATTTTTTATGGATAACTTCATGTGACGTCACTTATAAATATTTTTTTCTAATAGTGAATTATTTTGTTATCAGAATTGCATCAGAATCATGTAAATATTTCCAAAACGAGAGATTACAGAAATGATAGTTTCTATCTATCAAATACTTGTTGAAAAAATAATAGAGTGCACACAATTGAAATCGAAGACTTTTATATCATAAAAATTAATAATCTCCCATTGAGATAACAAGTTAAACAATATCAAAGTTTTAAAATTGATTAAAGTACTTTACATGTTATTTGTGATAAATAAATGACAAAGTTAGGAATTTATGTATAAGTTAATTACAGATTCATGCTACATTTTTATATTTCTACATTATTTTAATTAATGTGCTAATACAATAAATTTTATTATTAACTAAATCTTTTATCTGAAAAAACAGAACGAATCTAAAATATATATTTAATTGATAACGCTTTTTTAATCTTAACAACTGTGGATAGTGAAGCTTTGATAATGCTAAATTCATGATAGCTCTATTGGTGTAACTCTAAAAAAAAAAACAATGCAATGACCACGACGACGGTCGTATAGATTGGCACAATGAATATATTAGTTTTATTGCTTTATTAAAGCTTTGTATAACATTTTGCGCCATTATATGATGCAAAAATCTTAAGATATAAGCAATTTTATACAATAATAATTTTGTTATACGTATTAAAATTAGTTGAAATCTTTCGATAGGAAAATTTAAAAAATTTTATTTCCGTATTTATTTTGCACTGGCAGGTTTTTTTATCAAAGATATAAATCGAGATATAAAAAACAGTTCCAAAAAAGTTGATTAGTGTTTGCATAGAGAAATGATAGAAAAAGTTTTCGATATTTTGACGGCCTGACAAATTGTCAATTAGCAATTGAAATAAATCCCTCATATGACAATTGAATTATGATAATCTTAGGCTGATTATCTTTTAAGCAATTTCATTTTTTTTCTAGGTCGCAGTCTCAACTGCAATGCAGACAGTGACAACTGTGATTGTCTGATATTGACAGAATTGATATTCCCTGTGAAATTCAACCTTCAATAAGCACTCGAGTTTCATCGAGCAAAAGAAAAGAAAGAGGAACGTTACGGAAAAGCGCAATTAAAAACAATCGGAGCAACCAATTCTGTTACATATACATTAGAGTGCCGGGTAGAATCGGATAATTCTAGAAATTGCCGAGGTGTTGATAGAAGCCGATTACAAAACTTGGACAGTTACATGCATTGAGTCGCGACGTACATGTAGGTACGACTGCGATTACGCGTTTCTCTTCTCAGGTAAAAATCAATAATACGACCGCGCAACGTACGTAGTACACGTCGTATACAGGGTGATCTACTAAAATTTCCGGAAACGCGACTGTCGACGTTTATACTTTACCGTGTGACAGCACTGACAGCTCGTGGATCGTCAGTTCTCGTGTTCATTGACAGACGAGAGTCGTGAGGGAATCGGTCCCGACACAGATATCTATTATGCAGTTTCAAAAAGAAAATTGTTAAACATACATTCGATGCACGCACGTCCCCCGTGCATGAAGTGGTGGAACGCACTGAGTCAGTATGTTGTGTGCGCTCGCGAATTCGGCCGCGGTCCACTTTCGTCGCAGTTCGCACACGTCTCTCGAGCGCTTGCCACCGCCGCCGCCGCTGTTCGCGGACGGATTACGGAACACGGAACTCGGAAGGTCGATCGACCCAACCGGCCCGATGATGAGCGAAACGTACGGCCGACGGCGTACCAAGACCGAGCCGGGCCGGGCGCGCAAAGGAGGATTTTCGTTCCCGGCTTGCGACAAGTAGCGCCGCGCTGACAGGCCGAGGGATGCGTCAATGCGTGTGGGGTGTGGGTACTCAAATGCGACAATTGTGTCACTATTCTAATTCTGAATTTCTTACTGTGGTTTCAAGATGGTTTCGAACAGCTGAGATAAGCCTGGATAACTATATATACGATATCTGAAATTGTATCGATAGCTTCAGTTTGACGAGAGACGTATAAGAAAAAGCTTTCCAAACAATGAATATACGTAAGATTTTATATATACAAAAAAATATCAAGTATTTTGGAGTACTTGTTGCATTTTAGAAAAGATTAAGTACATTTTTAATACATTATACATGCCTTTAATTATGCTGTAGATACCGTAAATCAAAGAGTCATTATGCTAAATGAGATAAGAAAAAAAGGAGAAAAAGTGACAACATAACCAAGTATTTTTTGTATATTGCTGAGTCGACAAATATACCGGTGAGAGTTTGTGTGAAATCATGTCGTAAGATAACCTGCAATGCCGAGGAGACCTGATAGACCGGCTGAAAGCAGCGCATCGCCATCCGTGAAGATGATCTGTCCATCGCCGGAAGAGCTGAGCATAATAAATAACAATGTCAAGTGTGAACAATGCGGGCTTGTTTTCAGAAACGAGCCGCGTTATCGGCTACATGATCTCAAGGTGCACCAGCACAAAAAGTTAGATAAAATTGCAAAGGAAAACGCACGCTATTATTGCCCAATACAGTCGTGCGTCTACGCTGTTAATTCTCAGAGATACTTTAGCACCATGAAATACTTGAAGCAAGTATGTATATTTCGATGTTTCATATAATGAGCATAGTGACAAAAAGTTGGAGAGATCAATTTTAAGAATATATTAATAACGCTATACTATATCCTTTCAGCATTATTTGAAGGTACACGCAGAAAAAAATTATGCGTGTGATCGCTGCGGCAAAAGTTTTTCCACTGAATCCGCTAAAAACGGACATACAAGAGTCTGCGGCATAGAGTTCACATGTTCCTGTTTAAAGACTTATGTCACATATGAAGCGTTGCTTACGCACGCAAAGCGATCTCTGCACACTATAACGGAAAACTACAAAAATTCACGGTATGTTTATTCATCACATTATGCATTTTTAGTAATGGCATGATTAGTGATGAGTATCAAGATGCTTTGAATTAGTTCGAATATGTCATGAAAAATTCGAAATAATTCAAATATGATTCAAAATCATACAATCTTAAATATCTTGAATATCTTGAAAAGTCTCGAATGTCTTGAAAAGTCTCGAATGTCTTGAAAAGTCTCGAATGTCTTGAAAAGTCTCGAATGTCTTGAAAAGTCTCGAATGTCTTGAAAAGTCTTGAATGTTTTAATAAATTTAAACAATTAAAAAATGGTTCCTTTCGTTGATTTTTTTTAAATTAAAGTGAAAATACATTTGATGAAAATAAAAATTTACTTGATTTCAAGAAATGAGGTTCAAATCACAGAAATTTTTCTTTAATCGTATAGCAACGCTCAAATTTCTTTAATTTAAACAAATGTTTTTTTAATCGAAGAAATTAAGAATTATCAAATTTTAACCTATCAAGACTTTCAAGACCTATCAAGATCTATCAAGACTTTCAAGAGTATACAGTTTCAAATAATATTCGAAATGTTTCAAAACGGAGCAATGATTAAATTGATTGAAAATTCGTAAGAGATATGATTGAATACTCATCACTAGGCATGATTATCATAACTGTAATTGAATAGAAAATTTACTGATATATTTATAAGATATCTTTGCAGACACACCAACTCCAAGACAACGCAAATCATCTTACCAAGGAAAATTATAAGTAAACCTGTCTCGATATTGCCCAATCCAGAGAAATCTGGAAAGAATAGCGAAAATATTAATACGATAAAAAGTACATCGGATGTCGGAGTACAGACAGACGATTATAAAAGAAGCAAGAGACCGAGTCCATTAAAACTCAACAATAACAATCTACACAATACGAAACGTCGAATATCTCAGCAAACACAAACCAATCATTTTTCTAAGGAGAAAACCTCCGGGAAATCGATAGAAACACAAACACCACAAGCAAACAGAGAATTGCCGAAGATAAACAAACGTAGTGGAAAGTGTCGCGCATTATCGAAACAATCAGAACAGACGTTGCTAAAAGAGGATCTTGATCTTGGCAATAATTTCGCATCGACCAATTTATTTCCGGCTAGTCCGCTGCCGCTTCGTCACGACGTGGGCTTGCAGGATTTCTGGGAACAGAAGAATACTTCAGGCACGCAAACGATACCAGAAAAAGATATATTCGAGGCATTTAATGATAGCGTGACTCAGACGGAATTTGATACATTCTACAATCACAGTCATAATCCTTTAATTCAATGCGTACCGAAGAGTACAGTGGCTTTAATGACTTTGCCTTATGTCGAGGACACGTCAGCAGTTGAAGGGTATTCTTTCGCTTCGACCGATGGGATGTCTCAGGCAGATCTTATGCTAACCACTAAGACATTCGAAGACAGATTTAGTAGTATAGAAACGCAAACCGAACAAGCCTTTTCTCCTTCGTATTTTTATTCCGAATCTTTCGGGTCGAAATCGTTTGCTTTAAGTTCAAACATTGAAACGCAAACTACAGATAATCTAGACAACATGGAACAACTGCTATACAGCAACACATACACTCAAACATGCGATAAAATGTTGTCTTCCGATTTAGGACTATCCAATATACAGACTCAGACTGCTTGGTCGCACAACGACACTACAGTTTCTACCGAGACTCAAACAAAATCCCTGATTTGCGGAACTGATTGCAACATTCCCACTGGAGCCTGTAGATCCTGGTTAAATACACAAACGAGTCACACCGAAACACAGACCGATCTACTTAGTATTTTCGAGGGACTTGAATAAAATATATTCTTTTTTCATTGCAACTTCAATAAATTACTTAGTATTTTCTTCATATTTTTATTGTATTTTTTGAAATATTCATTTTTATGTTTATCTTTTATCATTTTATGCTACAATATGTTAAAAAAGTATTAATTTCCAATTCGTAACACGATTTGTCGTCGAAGGATAAGTATCCGATCTTTGAAATTTTCTAACTTCTATATTTCAGCTCCTAATTTTTTCATTTGAAATTTATTTTATTCAAAGTGTGTCAAATAAAAAAAGTTGACAAATCGAGCATTATAAATGTTATCCATCTGTAGTTGCACATTTGTATATGTATGGTATGTGTATGTACATGTGTATGTATATATATATGTATGATATATATATATATATATATATATATACAGAAATACATATATCTGATTTCTTTCAATACCAAAGTATTACGCATATATCGTACACATTCGAGTGTACTTTGCATATATGTATCTACATACGATTGAAAATAAATATATGACATTATATACAAGCATTGTGATCTGAACTTATTAGTAAATTTATGGACTGGAATCGGACTAAATGTATAATTGTTATGTATGTCTATTTAAAGCCTCATGTGTATGCGGTAAAAGAGAGTCTCGATATCTCTTGTACATATAAAAAATATATTCTAGCTTTACATCACGTGCTGTGCTGCGTGATGAAAACAGGCGAATATTTTTAATGTCTATCAGCTTTGCGATAATATCACGTAAGATTCCGATTATATTTTTAAATTTGCATTTTTTTTGTTCACACGTACAATATACAACTAAGAAAATATGTTCCTCTTCAATCAAAGAAGGTCATGATATCGTCAGAAATGTATCTGCTTCTTTGCATCGTCATAGATTCGATTAAATAAATTTTACAAATTGTCACAAATATAAAAATATCACGAATATTTTATAAATAATATATATTTATACACGTTCAGATCGAAGTGATCTTACGCTAGGATGTTAGTCTGCAGCAGGAGGGATGGAAATTAAAAATTCTGCAACGAATGTAGATAACAAGAAACAATTGAATAATAAATTCTCATTGTGTTCAAAAGTATCAATACATTGCATAGCAATGCATTAACGTGTTGAATCGATCAACGTATGGATCATTTATTATCAATGGATGCGCAGTGAAATTGGGGATTGATGGGATATATGGTGAAGTGATAAAAAGGGGAATAGTGTGAAAATACGAATATATATAATATATATATATATATATAGAGAGAGAGAGAGAGAGAAAGAGAAAAAATTCTATTATACTGCGGGACCGGCGGCATTATCCTCGTCGGAATCAGGTAAAAAGTCTTTGGTCCAGTCTTCTATCCTGTCCACATTTTCGAGGGTTGATGCGAGCACTCTCAGATTATCCACACCGGACATTAATTGTCTACAAAGAAATACATGAAATCTCGTTTAGATTTGGAAAAAACTATGCATCTCTTTATTAAAATAGACAGTATTCCATTCTAAATTAATTATAAAATGTTTCAAATATATTTTTTGTAATTGATAGTAGTCTAATAATTAAAGATACCTGAGGGATACTTCAGCCGACGATGCAGCCGCGAATAAATCACGCGCAAGCCTTCTAATCGTACGATTCATATTAACAGCACCAGCATTCGATTCACTTTGTCCAGCAGCCGAGATACCGGCTCGAAGTTCACTGTTCTCCAATCGTAGTAGAGATATCTCTGTCTAAATTAACAGATTTGCAAGCCGATACATCAAAACGTGTTATATTTTGTTCCATTATAGTCTGTCAAACATAAACATATACTAACCGTTAAAACCTTAATCTCTTTTTTCAATGATGTGACAGTACTTTCAGCATTAACTGCTCGTTTCTACAAATAGAAATACAAATAGAATGCTGTCATCGTTTCCCACACACACATATCGTTACACATAATGTAATCAATATGTAAGAATTCCAATTTGCAATTTGAAATGCAAATCCTTATCTTTGTACTTACTGTACTTCGTTTTAAGTTATCTTCGACTTGCTCCATCGCTTTTTCCAAGTGCACAGTCTCTTCGTGTTCCACTTCCTTTTTAGATAACAATTCTGCCTCCAATGAACGAATTCTGTAATTAACGGATCGATGTAACTGAAATTTTTTCCAGCAAAGTATAATTACCTTTCTATTTTTTCATTAAGTTGCCTTCGAGATACCTCTAATTGCTGACGTAATCTTTCATTCTCGAGCAAAAACTGTAATAATATATAATCTCGAATTCTCTCCATTTCCTCTATATCTTATTTATTAGATTGTTGCATTACACAGCAATCTTACCCTTCTTTCTGTGGATTCTGTCATGCTCGCTATAGGTTCTGAATCTGAAGATCTATGTATAGGACCATCGCTTAAGAAGTCTGGTAGAGATTTGTGAACATTTGTTTCACCACCTGATGGAAGATCGCCTCGTGCGGTTGTATTTATACTAGGATTGGAGTCAGGAAAGGGTAATGGTAAATCAAATGGAAATCCTGTAAAGAAAATGCTTCTTATCTTCACAAACTTAGCAGGAACATAATTGTATAATTTGAAACATGCCAGCAAGATACCTCTGTGTTCAGGGCGAGGAAAGATAGGTGCAGTTTCGTTGAGTCTATCCTCGAACATAGGTAGGTCCAAGTGATTAGAATGCATTTGATGTTTTGTATTTGATGCAGTATGATCTCTGTGTGGTAAGCCTTTGTGCAATGTATCAGTGAGATCAAATGATCGTAGATCATCGCACAAGATGTCAGAGTCGTTCTTTTTGGTCTCGTTCCGTAATCGACACTGCCTTTGCTCCATACTGTTCAATGCAAAGTCCGGTAGATTATCCACATCAGGTAGTATTGGTTGACTATTCTCATGATTCAGGTAACACTGTTCAATAACCAGGTGATCCTGTACAAAGTCTGGCAGTTCCGTTGGGTTTCGACCGGAATAAACGCCGCTGCCGACATTATCTTTGTCAAGGACGTTACCAGGACTTGATGTGGAGGATGAATAGACTTTTGGTCTTGCCCCGGTGTTTTGATAGTTGGTTTGCTGCATGCCATTCTTTAAGAAGGCCTTGAAACTAAAGGGGTTGTTATCGCGACGCGACGACGCGTCTTGGCCTGTGAAAAATCATTTTCAGCTTCCAGTCAGACGAGAAAAAGAAAAAACAATCCTCCGCCAAAGCGTCCGCGTGATATAATAATATACAATGATAGTGAATTCTAACCTGATGTCGACTGCTCGATGGAGTCGACGTGACTCCTGCTGAAACGGTCCGATGTCGTCGACGGGTTGTTTATTGATTGAGTATCCTGGCAACGAGCGGAGGATATCATTTTCTCCTCATCCGATGACGAAAACGGCAGAGAGACCATTTCGTTTCCCGACGGCGATGAGGAGTTCTTACACGCCACTACGTAGGGCGTCCAGGAGGAGGTAGTCTTCTCCTCCTCCTCGTCAGACGACGAAGACCACAAGTGGCGTTGAGACAACGACAACCGACGATCTGGATCGTCGGTTCTCTTACGGCTTGCCATAATTCGCGTCGACGCTACGATCGAGTCATTTGCGTGCGACGCTCGACTTCGCCGAGAAGAGTACGCGCTCGCTTCACGTCTGTCACTGTCTGTTTGCCTGCAGTGCCTGCTGATCGTGTCAGGTTAGGTTGGCTCGATCAGCAACACTCATCGATGCTCCTTTAATATGTGTCCATCACTCCGCTCAACTCTGCTCCCTCTGCTCCACTCACTCTGCTTATAATCATTCACGACGCGGTTTTCACACTTCGCGTTCGCGTTCGCGTTCGCGGTAGTGCGCCGTGCGTTCAGCTGGCGATCTGTACCCTATATTTAACTTAAAGACCTAAACACAATACATAAACTGTTTACACCTTCGCGACCTTTGTGTTTAGACCAAATATAGAGTAGAATCAAGTAATCGTAAACTAAATGCGCTTTCTACGCTTGAAACAGTTTGAAATGATATGGAGATATATCTATAGTTTCTAAAATAAAAGGAAATTAGATACAAAACGTAGAAAAATGTAATTGAACGAGTGGAGTGAACAAGTTTCTTCTCGCCTTTTCTCGTGCGACTTTTTCATCAGTGATTGTAATTGTACACAGTTCTTTTTCAGCTGTATATCGATGCATCTCTCTTGAACGATTGACATTTCATTAAAAATTGACATTTCAATAGGAAATTATTGATATATATTCTTACGCCTTATTGATAGCCTGTCGATATTTACATTGTAACTTTGAGGACCTGCACGACGCTTTATAGCCCATTGATTAGATATATAGCCTTTGGAAAGATGGTATGAATATAAATTTTTAATTTTAATTTGTTGAGGATCATTCATGTGAAATAAATAATAACTGTTTTTAATAAATGACATATAATATACCTGAAGAAAATTTAGAAAATACAGATTAATCATATAGTATATGTAGGTGTTTAATTGGTTTTTGTTACAGTCTGATATCTATTGTATCTCCTGTAAACAGTTGTCTGATGATAATTACCAAAATGTGTTTGATGAAAAATTGTTGCTTGACTTACAAGAAAAAGACACACATGAGAAACCTGATGGATATATGACACTGAGGAATGCTATCGAATTAATTACTGGTTATACAGTGAATATCATATAATAATTTATATTTAGTTTATTACATATATATGTTTATAGGACAATTTAATATAAATACATATATATTATATTGCTCTTTTTTAGATATCAGAGATAGATAATGCAATTTTGTGTAAAACATGCTTTTATAAAGTGGAATCATATATAAAATTCCGTTCTCAACTTGTTACTTCATTTGGAAAATTAAACATCCAAATATCAGACTGTGATTCACTAAATTTAACAAGTGTGGATACTACAAATACTTCACTAATCTCTAAAATAACTAGTACAGGTTTGTTTATAATAAATGTTTAAGACAGTACGTGCATATATTGCTGCATGTAAAATTTCAGAATCAAAAATATTCAAGGAGATAATAAACATCAATGAAAACAGTGTTTCCTCAAACTGTAGCATTAATCTAGAGCTATTGAGCAACGAGACGTCATTATGTTTATCAGATTTCCATCATTATGTTGATAACGTCTCTGATGATGTCAGTGATATTGATGATTATTTGAATGTTGATATATCTCGTTCAAGAGTTCAGAAAAGTGATATAGAATTAGATATAAATGTATGTTCTTGTGAAGACGATGAAGTATTAGAGTTACCTTTCGAATATAAACACAGTGAAGTTATCAATATCAGTTCAACAGAATCAGAGGAAGATTACGATTATGGACCGACTTTCAAAAAAATTAAGCTTTCAAATCGAATTTTATCTCCAGTGATATCATCTTAATGTAATAATTTATAAAGATTGTACATATTGTATGTTTAATAAGTATAAGATAGATTATAAGGAAAAAATTTTATTAAATGTTATATGCATGACAGATTTAGAAATAAATACGTCACAATTTAAAATTAGTCAGTAATCAAAATATATTATAAAAAGTATACACACACACACGTGTGTGTGTGTGTGTGTGTGTGTGTGTGCGCGCGCGCGTTGTGCACCGTCGGGTTTTGGGGTGGGGAAGCACCAATAATTAATTGCTCTGTATATGCTTTAATACAATATATATAGTGCACTCTATTTTGTGTAATTTATAAATTTATCAAATTAGGATTAATATATAATAAACAAGGCTATGAGAGTCAATACTGCGTTAGAATTGCAGGAAATTAATCAATTATGTGTCGATACTTATAAAAACTGTTTAATTAAGACAGACGTTTCGGCCTACTTCCGGGCCATCTTCAGTATACAGAGATCGTCGATAGCACTTCCATCCGAACCAACGAGTTATCGTTCACCTTATATTCATAGTTGGAACAAGATTCGTAGGTCTTGTGGCCAGATTGAATCGAAGGATGCCGTTCGAATGTAAAAGTTTCAAATAAATTTATACACAATATATGCATGGAAATGTAGAAGTTGTCACAATAGTTTAAATTAACGTCTAA